TCGTGGCTGAGGCTGGTGAACGTTTCGTGGCTGAGGCTGCGTTTCGTGGCTGAGGCTGAGTGAACGTTTCGTGGCTGAGGCTGGTGAACGTTTCGTGGCTGAGGCTGGTTGAACGTTTCGTGGCTGAGGCTGGTGAACGTTTCGTGGCTGAGGCTGGTGAACGTTTCGTGGGCTGAGGCTGGTGAACGTTTCGTGGCTGAGGCTGGTGAACGTTTCGTGGCTGAGGCTGGTGAACGTTTCGTGGCTTGAGGCTGGTGAACGTTTCGTGGCTGAGGCTGGTGAACGTTTGTGTGACGTTCGTGTGAGCTGGTGAACGTTTCGTGGCTGAGGCTGTGAACGTTTCGTGCTGAGGCTGGTGAACGTTTCGTGGCTGAGGCTGGTGAACGTTTCGTGGCGAGGCTGGTGAACGTTTCGTGGCTGAGGCTGATGAACGTTTCGTGGCTGAGGCTGGTGAACGTTTCGTGGCTGAGGCTGTGAACGTTTCGTGGCTGAGGCTGGTGAACGTTTCGTGGCTGAGGCTGGGTGAACGTTTCGTGGCTGAGGCTGGTGAAGTTTCGTGCTGAGGCTGGTGAACGTTTCGTGGCTGAGGCTGGTGAACGTTTCGTGGCTGAGGCTGTGAACGTTTCGTGGCGTTTCGTGGCTGAGGCTGGTGAACGTTTCGTGGCTGAGGCGGTGAACGTTTCGTGCTGAGGCTGGTGAACGTTTCGTGGCTGAGTCTGGTGAACGTTTCGCGGCTGAGGCTGGTGAACGTTTCGTGCTGAGGCTGGTGAACGTTTCGTGGCTTTGAACGTTTCGTGGCTGAGGCTGGTGAACGTTTCGTGGCTGAGGCTGGTGAACGTTTCGTGGCTGAGGCTGGTGAACGTTTCGTGAAACGTTTTCGTGGCTAGGCTGGTGAACGTTTCGTGGCTGAGGCTGGTGAACGTTTCGTGGCTGAGGCTGTGAACGTTTCGTGAAAACGTTTTGAGAGCCGTGAAACGTTTATTGGGGTGACTCTTCGGTGAGATGGTGTGGTTGTTTGTTTATTTAGATATGAGAGGTTTGAATGTGTGACTAGTTGGTTGTTTAAGTTCGTTGCTATTGTATGTATTATTATCATCATCATTACTACTATTGTTATTATTTTTTTTATCTACGCACACATACATACACACGTATATAATATATATATATATATATATATTATATATATATATATATATATATATATATATATATATATATATATATATATATATATATATACGCTAGCGGAAGCCATGGAAATTTCGCAGAAGATTAAGAGGTACTTTCCCCCTCTTCTCTTACTTTCTCAGTTTCTTACCTTTCTCCTCTTCCCTCCCTTTTCCTTCCCCTTTCCCTCCCTGAGCCCATTTTACTTAAATTCACTCTCCACTTCAAGGTCAACATCTTCCCCACCTGCATCAACCCTTTATCAATTTTCTCTCTCTACTCCTTTTCTATCTAAGTCCTTTCTCTCCCTTTCCCCTAAGTCCCCTCCGTCCCCCCTCTCTCTCTCCCCTTTCTTGCGATCTCCCTCTTCCCCCTTTCGCTGTACTTTCCTGGAAGAAAATGAGATTAAAATAACAGTAATAATATATTAAATGATGATAACAAGAATGATAACAATAGAGTTAGATTCAAAGAGATTCGAAATATCATGCCTTCATATGTGTGTGTGGGAACCGTATTCATGTTGACAAATGTAGAAAAGGTATAATTGAGATTGAATATCAATACAAGAGATGCATTTGGCTCAAATACATCTCTTGTATTGTGAAGATATTCATCCTCATTCATACCTTTTCTACGCGTGTCTGTATGTACGTGTGTCCTTCTTTAACATCTATAATATCAATAATCACCCAATTTCACATCAAAATGAAGCAACCTCAACTACACGCACACGGAATAGGATTTCAGGAGTAACTTACCTATTTTACATCAAAATGGAAAAGCTTCGTCTCTGCAATTACACGGAATAGGATTTCAGGCGTAACGACCAAGAATATTGTGCGAAAGAACTTAAGACTTAAGACAAGCAGAATTATAGAATGTATAATAAATCTATCTATCAATCTATCAGTCTATTCATCCGTCTGTCTATTTTTATATATGTATGTATATATATGCACACACACACACACACACACACACACACACACACACACATATATATATATATATATATATATATATATATATATATATATATATATGTGTGTGTGTGTGTGTGTGTGTGTGTGTGTGTGTGTGTGTGTGTGTGTGTGTGTGTGTGTGTGTAAAACAGGAGAAAACGCACATGCTCGAACGTGTGTATCTGCCCCTCTACATGGACAAAAAACCAGACATCCGAGCTATAAATAGCCTGTTAAAAGCCAGAAGCTGTCACCGAAAATAACGACATATTCGACACGCACACCAACACACACACACACACGTACACGAAAAATAAAATGTGAATGTAATCAGCCACATAGTGATCGGTTTCCTTTGTCGCCATGTTGAAAACACGCAGCACATTTTCATCAGAGAAGTTCAAGCCAAATGAATCAACATGTTGGTTGTCAGGCGATTCACGGGAGAGTTATTCTGGGATATTGTTTAATATTTTCAAGGGAGGACAGGCTAGCAGGCGTACTCTGGGTAGAAAGAGAGGGAGAAGGGGAGAGTGAGAGAGAGGGAGCGGGGGAGAGAGAGAGAGACGGGGGGAAGAGAGAGAGAGGAAGGAGAGTGACAGAGAGAGAAAGAGAGAGGGAAGAGAGAAAGAGAGAGAGAGAGAGAGAGGAAGGGAGAGTGAGATAGAGAGAAGAGGGAGAGAAAGAGAGAGCGGGGAAGAGAGAAAGAGAGAGAAAGAGGGGAAAGAGAGAGAGATAGAGATAGAGAGAGAGAGGGAGAGAGGGGGAGGGTACGAAAGAAACGGATAAAAAGAAAGACAGAGAGACCCTAAGAGACGAAATAAGAAAGAAAGAGAGAGAGGGGGAGGGGTTACGAAAGAAGGATAGAGAGAAAGACAGACAGACTCTAAGAGACAAAGTGAAGAAGAGAGAGAGAGAGAGAGAGAGAGAGAGAGAGAGAGAGAGAGAGAGAGAGAGAGAGAGAGAGAGAGAGAGAGAGAGAGAAGAGAGAGAGAGAGAGAGAGAGGAGAGAGAGAGACCGTAACAGACTCTAAGAGACAAAGGAGAGAGAGAGAGGAGAGAGAGAGAGAGAGAGGGATAGAGAGAAAGACAGACAGACTCTAAGAGACAAAGTAAGAGAGAGAGAGAGAGAGAGAGAGAGAGAGAGAGAGAGAGAGAGAGAGAGAGAGGAGAGAGAGAGAGAGAGAGAGGAGGAGGGAGGAGAGGGGGGATAAACAAAGAAACGGATAGAGAGAAGGACAGACAGACCTTAAGAGACAAGGTAAGAAAGAGAGAGATCAAGAGAGAGATCAAGAGAGAGAGAGAGAGAGAGAGAGAGAGGAGAGAGAGAAGAGAGAGAGAGAGAGAGACAGAGAGAGAGACACACAGAGAGAGAAATAAAAAGATACATATTTCCCGTTCAATAAGGACATGTCAGCTCAAGGTAACATAACGACCATAACAAACGCTTCTCATTCGCCCAAACATCCCACTCGAGTGCCGAAGCCGCCAACCAAGCTTCCGAACACGGGAAAATATGGCAATACTGATAAAATAAACAGGTGGATAAAAGGAAGACAACCAAGCTTCCAACACGGAAAAAATGGCAATACTGATAAAATAAAAGGTGGATAAAGGAAGACAAACAAGCTTCCAAACAAGGAAAACAGGCATACTGATAAAATAAACAGGTGGATAAAAGGAAGACAAACCAAGCTTCCAAACACGGAAAAAGGCAATACTGATAAGGATAAACAATACAATACTGATAAAGATAAACAGGTGGATAAAAGGAAGACAAACCAAGCTCCAAACACGGAAAAAGGCAATACTGATAAATAAACAGGTGGATAAAAGGAAGACAAACAAGCTTCCAAACACGGAAAAAAGGCAATACTGATAAAAAACAGGTGGATAAAAGGAAGACAAACCAAGCTTCCAGGTGGATAAAGGAAGACAAACAAAGCTTCCGGGAAACACGGCAAAAAAGGCAATACTGATAAATAAAACAGAGATGGATAAATGGAAGACAAAACCAAGCTTCCAAACACGGAAAATGGGCAATACTGATAAAATAAACAGGTGGATAAAAGGAAGACAAACCAAGCTTCAAACACGGAAATGGGGCAATACTGATAAAATAAACAGGTGGATAAAAGGAAACAAACCAAGCTTCCAAAACAGGAAAAAAATGGCAATAGGCTGATAAAATAAACAGGTGGATAAAAGGAAGACAAACCAATAACACGGAAAAGCAATACTGATAAAATACAGGGGGATAAAAGGAAGCAAAACCAAGCTCCAACACGGGAAATGCAATACTGATAAAATAAACAGGTGGATAAAAGGAAGACAAACCAAGCTTCCAAACACGGAAAAATGGCAATACTGATAAAATAAACAGGTGGATAAAAGGAAGACAAACCAAGCTTCCAAACACGGGAAAATGGCAATACTGATAAAATAAACAGGTGGATAAAAGGAAGACAAACCAAGCTTCCAAACACGGGAAAAAAGGCAATACTAAAATAAACAGGGGGATAAAAGGAAGACAAACCAAGCTTCCAACACGGAAAAAAATGGCAATAACTGATAAAATATAACAGGTGGATAAAAGGAAAGACAACCAAGCTTCAAACACGGGAAAATGGCAATACTGATAAAATAAACAGGTGGATAAAAAGGAAGACAAACAAGCTTCAAACGGGAAAATGGGCAATACTGATAAAATAAACAGGTGGATAAAGGAAGACAAACCAAGCTTCAAACACGGGAAAATGGCAATACTGATAAAATAAACAGGTGGATAAAGGAAGACAAACCAAGCTTCCAACACGGAAGAAAAATGGCAAACTGGATAAAATAAAACAGGTGGATAAAAAGGAAGACAAACCAAGCTTAAACACGGGAAAATGGCAATACTGGATGTGGATAAAAGAAGACAAACAAGCTTCCAAACACGGAAAAAAGGCAATACTGATAAAATAAACAGGTGGATAAAAGGAAGAACAAACAAGCTTCCAAACACGAAAAAAATGGCAATACTGATAAAATAAACCAGGTGGATAAAAGGAAGACAAACCAAGCTTCCAAACACGGGAAAATGGCAATACTGATAAAATACAACAGGTGGATAATAAGGAAGACAAACAAGCTTTCCAAACACGGGAAAAATGGCAATACTGATAAATATAAACAGGTGGATAAAAGAAAGACAAACCAAGCTTCCAAACACGGGAAAAATGGCAATACTGATAAAATATAAACAGGTGGATAAAAGGAAGGACAAACCAAGCTTTCCAAAACGCAATACCAGCCCAAGCTTCCAAACTGGCAATACTGATAAAATAAAAGGTGGATAAAGGAAGACAAACCAAGCTTCCAAACACGGAAAAATGGCAATACTGATAAAATAAACAGGTGGATAAAAGACAAACCAAGCTTCCAAACACGGGAAAAATGGCAATACTGATAAAATAAACAGGTGAATAAAATAGGAAGACAAACCAAGCTTCCAAACACGGGAAAAATGGGGCAATACTGATAAAATAAACAGTTGGGGATAAAAGGAAGACAAACCAAGCTTCCAAAACACGAAAAAATGGCAATACTGATAAAAATAAACAGGTGGATAGAAGGAAGACAACCAAGCTTCCAAACACGGGAAAAAAGGCAATACTGATAAAATAAACAGGTAGGATAAAAGGAAGACAAACCAAGCTTCCAAACACGGGAAACTGAATAAACAGCAAACCAAGCTTTCAAACACTGATACTAAAATAACAGGGGATAAAAGAAACAAACCAAGCTTCCAAACACGGAAAAAAAATGGCAATACTGATAAATAAACAGGTGGATAAAAGGAAAGACAAACCAAGCTTCCAAAACACGGAAAAAGAGGCAATACTGATAAAATAAAACAGGTGGATAAAAAGGAAGACAACCAAGCTTCCAACACGAAAAAAATGGCAATACTGATAAAATAAACAGGTGGATAAAAGGAAAGACAAGCTTCCAAACACGGGAAATGGCAATACTGATATAAATAAAAGGTGGATAAAAGGAAGACAAAAAAACAACGGAAAAACATATACTGAAAAATAAACGAGGTGAAAAAGTGAAACAATACTGCAATACTGATAAAAATAAACAGGTGGATAAAAGGAGACAAACTAAGGCTTTGGATAACGAAAATTAATGGCAATACTGATAAAATAAAACAGGTGGATAAAAGGAAGACAACCAAGCTTCAAACACGGGAAAATGGCAATACTGATAAAAAAAACAGGTGGATAAAAGGAAGACAAACAAACTTCCAAACACGGGAAAAGGGCAATACTGATAAATAAAAACAGGTGGGATAAAAGGAAGACAAACCAAGCTTCCAAACACGGAAAATGGCAAACTGAATAAAATAAACAGGTGGATAAAAGGGAAGACAAACCAAGCTTCCCAAACACGGGAAAATGGCAATACTGATAAAATAAAAAGGTGGATAAAGGAAGACAAACCAAGCTTCAAAACACGGAAAAGGCAATACTGATAAAATAAACAGGTGGATAAAAGGAAGACAAACCAAGCTTCCCAACACGGAAAAAATGGCAATACTGATAAATAAACAGGTGGTAAAAGGAAGACAAACCAAGCTTTTCAAACACGGGAAAATGGGCAATACTGATAAAATAAAACAGGTGGATAAAAGGAAGACAAACCAAGCTTCCAAACACGGGAAAATGGCAATACTGATAAAATAAAACAGGTGGATAAAAGGAAGACAAACCAAGCTTCCAAACACGGGAAAAAGGCAATACTGATAAAATAAACAGGTAAAAGGAAGACAAACCAAGCTTCCAAACACAAAAAAAAGGCAATACTGATAAAATAAACAGGTGGATAAAAGGAAGACAAACCAAGCTTCCAAACACGGAAAAAATGGCAATACTGATAAAATAAACAGGTGGATAAAAGGAAGACAAACCAAGCTTCCAAACACGGGAAAAATGGCAATACTGATAAAATAAACAGGTGGATAAAAGGAAGACAAACCAAGCTTCCAAACACGGAAAAAAGGCAATACTGATAAAATAAACAGGGGGATAAAAGGAAGACAAACCAAGCTTCCAAACACGGGAAAATGGCAATACTGATAAAATAAAACAGGTGGATAAAAGGAAGACAAACCAAGCTTCCAAACACGGGAAAATGGCAATACTGATAAAATAAACAGGTGGAAAAAGGAGAACAAACCAAGCTAAAACACGGAAAAAGGCAATACTGATAAAAAACAGGTGGATAAAAGGAAGACAAACCAAGCTTCCAAACACGGAAAAAATGGCAATACTGGTAAAATAAACAGGTGGATAAAAGGAAGACAAACCAAGCTTCC